TAAAAAGTATGTTTGAATTTAAAAAATAATCTTTCACTTGTCTTTGGAAAGAATTAGTTGGATCACGTTTCAGCATTTCAAAATTTCCTAAATTCAAGAAGTTGAACCCCCAAATTCCAAAATTATACTCACCCATAAAACTGCACAGAGTTATCCAATTAGACCGGTGGTTTCCTTTGTCACTGCACCATCAGTGACATATGAATGTGTTCTTACCGGTGCATACGGTACTCACGTGGTATGTGTTTGTCAAATTCATGAAAATTGAAACTCCTGTTGCATGAAGAAAAAGCTTCGTAAACTCAAACTCAATAATTAAAATCAGCCATTCTTGTCGCATCGAGATCGCATGGACATGGTTATTTCTCAACCTACATATGAGTGTTATTTCGGAGAATGCAATGACTGTCCTGGCTCGGAAAAATTGAAAACTATCTTAGAACGCTTATTCATGGATAACTTTTCAGACGAGAGTACATATAATCAATGGACTCAAGTAGATCGATGTTCTTCAGAAACAATTATCAAACCAGCTGACGATTTTGCTGATATTTTTGTAAAATATATTCCAAAACTACTCCATTTTGTAATCCGGTCAATCTAGACATTGGAATGTACATAAATTTACAACAAGCTGCAAACGCGTGTAATTGATCAAAACATAGTTAAAAATAAGATTTTGAAATTCTGAATGATTGCGATGCCTGGAAAAAAATTTATTCGAGGTCAAAAGTCAAAAATCTCGAAAAAAATTGTTTTTTTCGCGATTTTCAGGAAACCGGTAAATTTTATCATAAAATAACCTCAGATAAAAATTGTAGATCATAAAATTCTCTACAAAAAGTCAATACTTTTTTTTTTATATCCACCGTTTCTGAGATACGACGAGTCAAAAATTGTAATCGTCATTATATGCACACGTTTCCACGCCACCTATGAGGTAGTGTACTTAGCGCGTTTTTTTTAACGTGGTTTCCCCAGTAGGCCTATTCCACATGTCTGTTGTGATTCTATAAAATTGAAAACTTGCATAATAAAATATAATAGGAAGGGTTGAAAATAATAAAAGCGATTGAAATTAAAAAAATTTAAAAATGTATTCATCTGAGTCATAACCTTCAAATACTTCTTCTTGTCGTTCTTCTTCTTGGTCTTCTTCTTCTTCTTCTTGATCTTCTTCTTCTTCTTCTTCTTGATGTTCATCCTGGGTGGAGGCAAACTGCGTCAAGAGTGATATATCGCATGTTTTCTCGTTGGTATCGAATGAATCCTCCACTATTGGTGATTCAGCCTTAGAACATGACTGTCCTTGACAATGTGTACATGCCAGAGAACACAACAGTCCAACTTTTTTACAACCACATTTAGCGCTGCATCCCTTTTTACAGTTGTAAACAATTGTGTTCAGCAGTTTTTCTGTCGCAGGTGGGAGTTAAATCTGAATAGGTTCTAATGCATTGTCGACCAACTTCCAACCCCAGTTTTTTGGGTCTAGCTGATAACCAAGCCACACGTGAACTTGGTAATATACCCGGAAAATATGTTGATGAGCAGCAACTGAGGTTGGAGGAAGACAAACTAATTGCACCTGTTTCTTATTTTGAGTGTTTTTTTACGAAACATGCATATCGATACTTATCTAAGCAGGTGGCTTTTTTCGGAGCTTTGTACATAGAAAGAAGAAACTGAATTCCGTTGGGATTCAGTTTCTTTCTTTTTTCGAAAACTTCAGCACATTGAACTGAATCTTGTTTTTCAAACATTTTGAAGACTGTTGCTTCACCCCTCCTGTAAAATGTAGACGTCGTATCACAGACAGTTATTGCGTGTAAAAATAGTACACGATTTATACTCTTTGCAAAAGTAGATAAACTTTTTGTTTTGACTTTGAGCTTTTCCTGGCTTTAGAAAGAAAATATTTTTTTCAGGTGGAGTTCGAGCAGTAAGAAGTACGAGTAAGTCTACATTTTCACCAACAACAATAGTTGTATTTGTCAAATTAAATTGCTCTATAGCTGTTTCAATAATCAGTACGTCGGCATCGTTATTAGCCTGTTTAACCAATATATTTTCGCCAATAAACT